AATCATCATCATCATCATCAACAGCCTATAAATGCCCACTGCTGAGCAAAGCCTCTTCTCACACGGAGAAGGTTAGAGCGTTAATCACCACGCTTGCTCAATGCGGGTTGGCGATTTCAAACTTATAATTAGAAATTATAAGTTCAGGTTTCCTCACGATGTTTTTCCTTCACCGTTTGTCAGTGGTGGTACTTGCCGTTGGTAGGTTTCGAACCCGCACCCTCATGCATGAGAAGTGGGCGTCTTAAACCTCCGGGCCACCACGACATCCTGTATCTACATGGGTACCTAATTTTGGCATTCTCCAGTTAACACCTAATTATTTCTTAGACCCTTATTTATACACAGACATAGTTACTCCATTCATTTCATACTCCAAAACTCCGAATATGAATAACCCATGACGTAATCACCGACACTAATTAGTTTATTGTTAATTAATATATTGAGGTTGCAAACACGTCTTTATAAATAACATAACATCATCGGCGTATATGACTAGAGGGGGTAGGTAGAGGACCTCTACTAGAGGTGCATGTTTATACGAGGCGCGGGCAAACCTACCAACGGCAAGTACCAATGTGACTTTTTCCAAGTTATATGTACTTTCTAAGATTATCTAGACACCACTGACAAACGGTGAAGGAAAACATCGTGAGGAAACCTGGTCTTATAATTTCTAATTATAAAGTTTGGAATCGTTTTTTCAGAAATCACAGCGCTTAATCAAAAGTTACTTTTTTTATGGTAGGTCGCCGCGCGCTCAGGGTGGATGGAGCTTCGTCGTACTCTCGCACTCCCAAAGCGTCTCATTATAGGCCAGTAAACTAGTAAGATCACCTGATGGTAAACAAGATTGCTAACCATCTTACACCACCCGAGCGTACGGCGCGTCGCGTTCCGCGCGCGCCTCAAAGAGCCATCAGACCACCACAGATGGGGCCCAATAGGCCTGATGCCGATTTGGAGTCGCGGAGAACCTAACGGGTAACCGGGGCTTCGACTCGACGTGCTGGAGAAGGAACGGGGTGGTTTTTAGTCAGTAAGAGACTGACACTCCCTTCCGCCTCACCCAGGCGGGAGCAGTCATTCGATAATTTTCCCCCCTTAAAAAAAACCATCTTACACCACCCATAGATACCCACAACACTAGAGAAGTTATTAGTACGTTGCCGGCCTTTTCGGGATTAGGGTTTTGACATTTGGGGATGGGGGTGAGGAGGAATTGAGCTCGCGATAACCTCATTCACACGGCGAATTAAAGGTACACAAAACTGCGATGCGACGTCGCATCGACAAATTGGTGCGAATTAATTCGCATCGCGCATCAAACTCTTATCTTCCCAAAATCTTCTTTGATTCTTTTTCCTGTATCTCCTATGCATTAACAGAAGTGCATACTTCTTTTTACGATCCATGTCACGATCTAGTAGTCTAGGAGGCAGCACTTCGCTGCCTCACGCGTCCCGCCTCCTCCATAGCTAGCATGACTGCTTCGCAAAAGGAGGAGACGGCATCGCAGTCCCCCTCGCTCCGCATCATGGCCTGCACTAGACCCGGACGCGAGAGGTCGCCATCGCCAATCACTTCCCTGAGGGCACGGCGGTGCTCAGCCCACGCAGGGCATTCTCCCACCATGAGTTCCACCGTGTCCTCAGGGCGGTCCTCGCAGTGATGACACCCGGGCGTTTCCTCTCGCCCCATCACACACAGGTACCTCCCGAAACTTCCATGTCCGGTAAGGACCTGCGTCAGGCGGTAGGTGAGGACGCCGTAGCGTCACTCAAGCCACTCCTCAAAGAGGGGACTTACCGCTGCGATGGCAGCGAGCCCAGCCCTCGGTTGCGACAGTCGTTGCTGCCATTCCGCCATGAGATCGCGCCGGAGCTCATCCCGCCACGCACTTATCTGGCGCGGCAGCGGAGTTTCGCCCCGGCGACGTGCCGCCGCGCGCATGCGATACACGCGCGCGAGCACCTTCGCCTCCAGATCCCTATAAGCCCTAAGCGTTGTACACTTCCCGACGCATTCTTTACTTTACTTTTGATCGGTTACTTATGTTAAGGAATTTGTTTATATAAATAACTTGTCCTAGAATTAGTAATAGTGTGGGTGCTCCTCTCGCCTGTGATACAGAATATCCTAGATGTTTATTTTTTTATGGCATAAGCCGGTAAACGAGCATACGGATCACCTGATGGTAAGCAATCAACGTCGCCCATAGACACCTGGAACATCAGAGGCGTTACAAGTGCGTTACCGGCCTTTTGGAGATTAGGAGTTTGAGGATCTTTGGGGATTCAGGAATTGGGGAGATTGGGGAAGGGGAGGGTTGGGCCTCCGGTAACCTCACTCACACGACGAAACACAACGCAAGCGTTGCTTCACGTCGGTTTTCTGCTCGGCCGTGGTATCACTCCGGTCGTGCCGAAGCAGGGCTCTCTCACACTTAAAATCTGTAGTATGACCAATTTAATATAACGAATAAAGATTTATTTATGGCTCTCCAACATGGCAACTATAATAAAACTCAAAATTACAAATAAAAATATTTATTGATAATTCTCTCCATATAATTGAGCTCCAATGAACGCTCTGGGC